GAGATGTGTGTGGTGGAGGACCGGGTGTAGTGAGGAGGTAAAACAATGACAAAATATAAAGGTGCACGTAATTTCTCTGTATGGTAATGAGGATAAGAGGCATATAAAGTATTATACATGCATGACCCATTCCTCTTCTTTTCTGGTGTTACCAGGTTATAAAATATTACAGACATGAATGTTATAATTCCCATAAACAGGAATATTGATTAGCATGCATACGGACGTTGTATGGCCATTAGGAACCACTCGAATATTCACGGGAAGACTCACGAGGATGAAATGAGAATTTTGAATAGAAATACAATAATAATTATTAAAATAATAACAATGTGAACACACCGGATACGAAGGCCTGTCATAGGAAACATCGAAATGTAAGAGGCGACGCGTACGCGACGCGAAACGACCGCTTCGCGGCCGCTACTCACCGCGATCGTGCGTGCTGTGAAAATTTTGTGCTATAATCGACAATGCATGCACCACACTCATAAACATGTCGGAAAGCCGAAGAAAAATAGAAAAGGAAGGAGAAGAAGAGGAAGAAGAAGGAGTAGAAGAAGAGGAACATAAAGTACACCTCTTGATTACACATAACATCTACGAATGATATAATATCAGTAAATGAACAATGCAAAAACAACAAGGAAAAGATTTTGGAAAAAAAAATATAGAGAGCGACTCATACTACGAAATATCTAGTTTGATTTAGCATGTAGTATAAAGTAGTATAAAAAAAATATTCAAAAATGGAAATGAAACAATGCAATGTACACGATAATATCTGACTTATTGAACAATGCATGCATATACAGCAAGTAGAAGAGAAAAATTGACGGTCACTAGGGGCCTACGTCTAGCAATCTTCTACAGTAACAAAAAAGGAAAGGGACAAACGAACGAAAACTCGAATAGCACTCTGCGTGATTTACAAGACACCTTAAGAGCAACCGCTGAGTGGCGCTAAGAATTTGAGAGTGCATGTCAGTGGATGTGGTTGACGATGAAACAGCAAAAGGGAATGCTATGCAGTCCCAAAGCACTCAGAAGAGATCTGAAGAAAATATTTGGTTATGATGAGCCATTTATTAGCATCAGCATACTTTTATTGTGTTAGTACAACGTTATATATTGTTATTGTTAAGGGGCCGGACAGCACAGTGGAAATGATGTCCGTCATTGCGAGCATGGTGCTAGTTCGATTCCGCTCCGGGCTAACCAAGCCTTTCATCCTCTGGGGTCAGGAAATTGGTACCAGACTTCCCTCGGAAAAAACACTCTCTGCCATCCAAATGGGAGCGCTCCAGCCCGGCTACCTCAGGACTTCAGGGAGAATTGCTCGGCCAGCATTCCACGACATTGAAGAAATGGAAATCCTCAAACAGCAACCGAAGCCACACGTAAAAGTTGGAAGATCTTCGTTAACAATGGTTGCGAGTAAACGAATCGAATGTGAGAAGTGATGGGATCCGCACAGTTGATGTGAAGACGGATCAAATAGAATAACATATATATATATATATATATATATATATATATATATAATTTAAAAAGGGATACTTCTTTTGGCGATGACCAATATCCCTAAGCATCCGACTTCATTACGCATCGCTGGAAATGACTGAATGCATGTCTGATCTTTACAATGATTCGTGGTGGCCTATCGATGTATCGAGCCAGTGCTGTTATCCTCTCAGACAAGTCTGATTGTAATTTTCCGACCCTGAAGAGATAAAAAGCTTGGTGAACCAGGGCGGTGGGTTTGTACTGCATGGCGCCTCTGACCATTGCGCTGCTACACGTGTGGATACATTACTGTTACAACTGTAAATTTCTTTACGAATCATACAACCCTACTCTCAACAGTTACAACAGACAACTTCCGCACATTATGCTCCTGCCTGCCGCTTATTGCTTTCTTCACACGTCATTTCTTCTTTTTTCGACTTCATAAATAGGAAGCCAGAAAAGGTCTCCGGTGGTGTTCCTCAGGCCACAACTTATAACACCGTGCTACAGGACGAACTTATCAAGGCGGATGATTAGAAAAAGAAAAAAAAGAAAAAATATGGAGGAAGTGAACCAAAAACGCATAGCACTCACAAAGACACCTGTCAACGTGAAAGATGAACGAACCTGGTGCAGAAGACGTCCAGTTCAGCTTGCACATCACACCTTGTTGTGATAAGTGTGAAGCGGTTGTGGCGAGACATATAGACCACCGTCGCCAAACGGTTGACCAGCTCCGAAATTCGCGTACAACGCGGCTGTCGCGTCAAACGGTTGACCAGCAGCATTCCGCGCCGCCACCGCAGCGGCGGCGCTCGACGACGAGCCAGGTGACGACGGTAGACCAGCATAACCCGGAACTTGGTTGAACACTAGAAGAAATCATATTAACGCCATAAATCGACTGCATATCAACCATAATACATACAGCACTTCATTGTGGCAATGCCGGACGAGCGACCCATCATGCACACCGGGTGAACAAACACTTGGGTGATGCCGCTAGCACTACTAGACTAAATGATAGATGTGTGACGGTGAGGAGCGACATCCTAACGCTTTGAAAAAGCACGGTATCGCTGTGGATCTCCAAAATGTGGAGAACATAAATCATCCTAATCTCAAGAAGAATGACGTCGTAAACACTTTCTGCTTAATACATCTATTCATTACGTCAAATAGAAGTACACAGAGACAGTGTTCACCTCTCTAATGACCTTAGGACGGATGGGGATGTTTCCCTAAATGCTACCATATTTGTTCTCCGTTAGAAGAAAGAAGGAAGCTACATTACTGAGTAAGAATTTAGAGTCGCCCTTCTACCAGCTTACTTGTATAATGTTAGTACATGGTTACACATTGTTACTACAAGTGTAAATTTCTTTATAAATATTCTTGCATTCGGAAATATATGAAAACTCTACAGCTGCTGAAGTTTGGATCTACGCACAATTATGGGAACAACATTAACGGATCTGCCACAGTGAAAGATAATACCTAAACCCTCATAGCAAACAAAGGTTATGCTTTCGTTGTTCAGATGAGGTGGTCACAACTTAGCTATGCGGACGAAATCCTGTCCTTTGCAGAAACTCTCCTCTATCTCTAGCTTGCAGAAGAGTAGTGGTATCGCAAAAGGAACTAAGAGGTGTTTGCATACACATCTAAGAGGTTGCGAATAGTACACGTGTTCCAAACCTCTGTACACTAACTTTTCCTTTACCTCGTTTACATCTAAAGGTTGAAGATGACAGACCGTTTATATCAGAATAAATTCTGAAAGAATTTTTCCTAATTAGACTCGTTATAAGACTCTTGAGAAATACACTATATTTGTAGAATATTTCGTCAATAATCGGCCTAAACAAAGAATAATCTCGGAACTGCCTTGTAAAAAGCGCTTTACTTTAACAAGAGGGTTAAGATCTCATCATCAGAAGTGTACTCATAGTATTGGGTTTAACTGCCTGACAAAAATTTATTGTTTTCTGAATAGGCAAACACGAAGTTGGTATTACAGCATTTATTCAATCGCAACAGCTAACGTTTCGGCGGTTTCGCTTTCTTCAGAGCTTGGAAAGGTCAAAATGGCATGCAGTCTATTCCGCCAAACACTTTCACAACCTCAACAGATAAATCTTTACACAAATTAAACTCCAAAAACCTTAAAGTGAACCACAAGGAGGACTGCATTGTGATTACGCTTATCCTTCACCATAGCGCAGTTCTAATCCTTAACCTGAACCAGGCATATTACTCGACCAACTAAGAATCTGTGAAGCTGGTTGACACCGAAAAACTAGAAGGTTTACAAAAAACAAAATGGTGAATGTTTAAAAGCTGTTTACTATGAGAACGAATACTTGCGCATTAAGTTTAATCTGCTGAGGTTAATAGTGCTTGGCTAAGTAGATTGCATATCAATTTAACCTTTCCATGCTCCGAAGAAGGCGAAACGGCCGAAACCTCAGCCAGTACTTCAGGTGAATAAATAGAAGACAAGGATAAAGCTTTCGGCGCTGAACAACCCCTGAGGGATGCGCCACGCAATCGAGTTCAGAACCATAGTCGGAGGAATCTGAACGCATATCTGGCCTACACAATGACTCACGGTGGCTTACCGATGCATCCAGTCAGTGCTGCTATCCTCCTAGACGAGTCTGGTTCCAATTTGCCGACCCTGGAGAGATGGAAGACTTGGTGGGCCTGGGGCACGAGATCGACCCGATATCTGTTGCAGAGCCCTCTAACTGTTGTGCTACACACGCCAATTGAATAAATACTGTAATAATACCCTCGTGTTTGCTCATTAAAAAAACAGTGAATTAATGACAGAGTTAAAACAATGTCCGCCCTGGAGTTTGCATGACAACAGGTGTAGCATACGTTGAGAGCAACATTTTACAGATAAGGTCATTATAACTTAAACGATACATTACTATACAACTACAAGAAGTTCGGTAATATGATGAAGCACAGTTCACTAGTGGAAACATGCCACAGTTCCTGCTATTTTCACGTCTACTTTAACGTATTTCATTGATGCGAGCAGCTGATCGCCGCTTCAAATCTGAACTGTGCGTAAGTGTATAAATGGAATATTCCCAACCAACAAATCTACAATTCATTTCATTTAATACTTAGCACTTCACAAAACTCTACCATTCATATTCAAACCACACTATTAACCTGCGAGCTCCAATGGCGGAGCACATTTGACTACCATTGGCCCGCCTGCAAAGATTTACCTCGTTAATTACTGTGATTACTATCGTTAGTACTATTACCATTATCACCACATGTGTACATTAATAGTTTATCGGAATTTCTCGATAACAACTTTCCAATAAGCAACGATACTGCAATTTTAACACTATTCTCAGCAAAAGTCAAACGTTTTGTTTCGTTCCAACGATGACCTCTATGAATACAAGTACTGTTGGCTCATGCGTTACATATACATAAAGCTAGAAACAAAGCTGTAAAATAAATTACCAATAATGAATAGGTGAAAATTTAGACATACTCGACGTCATGTTGGGATAGAGCAGGTTACCATAACCGAATCGAGGCAGGTAAGTAGCATATGCTAAAAGAATCGAAGGATCGTAGAAATGACGATGTTCCGACTATTCAAATTATTTTATACTCTTCGTAGTCATCACTTTATTTCCTTTTGATGAAAAAACGGGCTATAGAAACGCGAAATGTACTGAGAAGTTGCATTTTTAGCTACAACTTGAAAATACTACATCCTTTCACAAGAAACGGAAGCGTTGCCATTTCAAACATAAATCTCTGATAAAACATGGATAGGGAATATTCCAGAATATAAACTCACCAAGGAGTTGTTCTGGTGGAAGACCGTAAAGGTTGCGAGCTGCGGCTGCACGGGACTTATTCAGCTGTACAGGAAGCATCACCTTAATAATGGAGATCGCACAAATCGCATGCTGGCTGAACGTATCATTTTCTCGATAACGCAAATTTATATAGTTTAAAGAGCAGTTGTTTGAAGTTTATTAGTGTGTGCGTTTAATTCGGAGCAAATTAGAGTTCATGATGGTCGATATATCTTGTCATTTCTCATGGTTTTTCCATGACCTCTGATGTTCCGATAACACTAGAGACCGCGAAGAATTGGCAAAATGAGCGTCATAGAAGTTACTTTAGTTCATCGATCCAAGCATGTATTTATGTGCAGCTTTTCCAGACTATTGTCATGATTTCAAAAAAATCTGAAATTCAAGTTTCCCAAAAAATGGAAATAGGGTTTAAGTTCTTAAAATTTTTAACGCAATCACATCAGCGGTAAGCAATGCCTAAGCACTTGGGGACGTCACCATGTCTTGCTGGACGAACTCTCGCTTATTCAATGACTTCGCTGCTCTTGAAATGAGTTTTACAACAAACAGCGAAAAGAAAAACGACTTGAGGGCTCCGGAAAGCTTCAGTGCCAGAGTATGAAAACTTCTCTCCTGTTAGGAACGAACGAGCTGCACCTTCAGTGGTTTTATTTAGATTAATAAGGTTCACTGTGACGAGATATGTTGAGTTAAAGCTGGAAGTGGCAATTATATTCATATTCTATGAATAGTAATCAATCCAAATCGGAAGCTAAGTGTTGGTGTTGATAGACGCAATTATTTCGAGCATCCTCCCCACAGTCCTCATCGTGGATGGGAGGTGTTTCTGGATGTTAGGATGCGATGTACAGCGTGGGGGTTCATCACTCTGGCAGAGTCCCAAGCTGAGAAGAAGTCTGGCGCTCCCATCAGGAAGCATAGCTAAGAGTAAACCGATACCAGGATCCACCACCGTTCTGGTATCAGACTAGTCGCATGGTGGAAATCTCCCTATGATCCACAAGGGCTGCTACTCTATGTGGTGCTGACCACCTTGGACATAATTTGGCCAGGCTGATCTCGGGATTCCAGGGAACTACAATGGCTAAACTAGCAAACCTCCGAAAAAATGGAGATTTTGCTGCGGCCTACACAACCAGTGAGGACGGGCCATCCAAGTATGCAAGTAAGTATTTTGAGCACTGCGCGTTGAAAGCCTTTCGGTCAAATTTACGAAGATTTGAAGAGTTTATCAGATATTAGAGCTATCGGAGATCATAATTTACGCAATAAAATCAACGGAATTAACTGCCACGACCGACTTTCTAACCGACGGAATTAAGTCAATACGTACCTCTTTTGGTTGAGCTTTCTTGCACTCTACCATTTTTCCGTTGATCTCGTGGAAATGAATCTCACACACCTTGTCAGACACTTCGTCGTTGTCAAACGTAATGAAGCCAAAACCTGAAAATTTGTCCAAGAATCGTCAAAAAATGGATTACTTCAGAAAACGTTCAACTGTTTCTAAAGTTTTCTTAGATGGATTTGGCTGCGAATTTATGACACAAGATAATCAAGGTAGAGCCATATTCTACAAAGTAACTAATGAAAACGAGAAAGTGGTATGAACGGCCCAAATCATAGTGGTTTGTTTTTCACTAAAAGGCTGGAAAGTGAAGTCAAAAAATCAACACTGAAAAAGAAATAAACAAATTTTTCCGGAAACCCGAAAAATGATGCTTACAGAATTATGTGATGAAAACGGCATGCAGCATATAAACTGAAATGAATAAAAACGATGAACAGGCAGCTTGTTCGACAGGGATGAAAAACTTCATCTCCTACACATTCTTGAGAACATGAAAACATGAAAATTTTGACGAATAGTTAAATAAAAGTGTGCATGTAGCGCAGTGGTTACAGGCGTTCTGCCGTAAGCACATGGTCATTGGTATGATCTCGCACTCCTGAATAAACAAGCTTACAATCCCTACGGGGTCGATAGTCTGCTAGCATACTTGTCTGTAAGACTAAACTCCGGCTTGACACATCAGTAAGTCCTCGAGTCACCACTGTACAGGTCAAATATGCATTTCATAATCTACTACAAATGAACACGAATCCGACAACGTCGAATATTTTATCCTGTATTATTACTTAAACGATCTTATGCAAATCGAATCCATTTCAATCCCCCTTAGACATAGGTGGTTTTCGCATCCAACACGCCAAGCAAACGGTATGCTAAACTGTCCATAATATATTGCTGGAACTTTCGCATAACGGAGGCACCATCCGTTGGTTCACGTTTCAATTCCAGTACCGCATGTTTTCAAAACCATTCCCTTTATAAGCCGACAAACTGTTATTTTTAAACAAAACAGCTCCATATGAGTGAAGAAAAAATGTTTCGTAATCAAAGAAAAATCGGTTAGAGAAGTTTCGTAATTAAGAAACTTATTGTTATGTATATAACCATTGGATGGCACAGAAGAAAAAGAGTATTATGCAACAGATTCCAACTATGAGCATTCAAATACACAAACATACGTTAGGGAGTAAACGTATCGGTATAACAGCACATTTCTGTGGATTAAAAGCAAAATCCAATTTGGTAAAGGTCATGTTTGTGGGGTTACTGAGTCAGAAAGCCAGACGTGATTAGGTACAGGAATAGTGTGAAGCTTACAACCAAAGCGATGACCCTCCGAAGATTCCTATCCATGAGATGATGAAAACATTCATTACTTCATTCAATACATAAAGTACTTGATGTAATATTTTCATTTTAAAAATTCACGTACGTTGGCAATAAAATGAAAAGTGGAATCAGAAAAAACGAAAACAGCTAAGGGACGAAATTTAAGAAAATGTGTTTTTATAATACCGTTGACTAGATTAATATGTTAAAGGACAAAAGATAAAGCTCTCGACATTGATCAATCCCTGAGGGGTGCGCCATTCATTCGACTTCACAAGTATCGTTGGAGGTGAGTGGCCTACCGATGTATCCGGCCAGTGCTGCTATCCTCCCAGACAAGTTGGGTACCAATCTGTTGCCCTCGGAGCCCCGTGCGCGGGGACCGATCCCATATGCGCGTCACAGGGCGCCTGCGACAACTGCGCCACACGCGCCCAGATTAATGTTTTACTCTCATAAATTGTAAAAAAAATCTAGAAATTTTTGTAGAACTACCAAGTAGTAATCTTGGTGGTTTAAAACTATCCCGCTTACAACGTAATACGGAGCTTACCTCGGTGACGTTGAGTAGCTTTATCGAACATTAGCATCGCATCTTCAACCTGAAAATAAAAATCTACTAAGGGCAAGAACCAGACTCTAAATGGTAACCAGTATGGTTAAATGGTAGCTTGTACAGTGATATATTTTACCTGGGATACAACTCGCCTAATTTATTCCTTAAGTTCTATAATAACACAGGACGAAAGAAGGCACAGTGATTTTCAGATATACCTCTTTTTAGTATTTTCTTTTCTGTTGAAAACTGATGAACATCAGTTCTGAATCATAGCCGTCGTATAACTAATCAAATCAATGAAACAATATCCAAGACCAACTTTCCATTAACGTCGGCATTGACTGATTAATTCAAAGAATAAAACGGCTCTGAAGGAGACGAAACCGTCGAAACGTCAGCTATTGCATGCTAATACATTCTAAAATACCAACCTCGTGTTTGCTCATTGAAGAAAAACTGAGCACAACAATAGTACTTGAGATTCACACGAAGATTTTAACCTCCCTAAGGGTTAGCGAATAACGCTGTCTTTTTTATTTCCAGCCTATTAATATTTTCCATGGCAGCGTATGATGTGGAAAACAGCTTTCGTGGTTCCGTGCGTAAAACGTGAGCCTCCGAAAAGGGTAATCACTGTTCAATCTGGCCTGTGATCGAAGTTTTGCAAATATCTCCGCACTGTAGTAGTTAATGAAGTTTTACGAAGACTTTAGGGTGTGGACCATTTTTTGCCTAGAAGTAGATATCGGCAGTAATCGCTGTTGCCTTTGGCAACTTCCTATGCCGCTGTACTGCACTCTATAGATTACCACCGCCTTAATAACGTCACTAAGCTGTAGTCAACTTGGTTCACCTACCACAAAGTCCACATACTCAGTTGTCACTGAGGCAAAGAAATCAATTGCCAAGGAGAGAAAATTTGAACCACTTGGTAAAACTTTCTTACCACTTACCTTTTCAAACCAAAAAGTGATACTAACATGCAATGCCGTTCTCGAACGTCCAAGAAGTGATTCAGAAGTGAATTTGTTACTCTAGAGATTACAAATCTATGCCCACGCCCCGCTAAGACGTCAGTTGAAAGGATATACAAATTTTCTGCTTAAAAAAGCTCATATTTCAAAAATCGATTTTCCTTCAATCTCGGTATGACAAATTAACATGTATTCTTTCACTGACCAGCCAACACCAGGTTAATTTTCAAAAAATTTGTTCAGCTAGGGTTTCGGCACCGCCTTCCTCAGATCCAAACTAATCAGGGTCCATTGTCCATAGTAAAGAGCTAATATTAATTTTTATTGAATAAAAACAACCCCACACAACCCTACAAACTAAGCTCAGTTTTCGAAAGATCTCCCAAAGAAGTTTCCGATAGATTACTTACTACGAAAACCATGAGGTTATCGACTCTATTTCGTTTACTCCCATTCGAAATCTACTACATTTCGAAGATAATCTGATCATTGCCGTTTTATTACAGTACTTAGTTGAAATTTTGTTATAAATAATACAAATCACTGAGTAATTATGAGTGTTTAAAACAAATAGAAGAAAACAAACACTAAAAAGTATAATGAGATTGAAAATACTTTTCCATACTGCTCGAAATACGTCTTCATGTCCTCAAGGGTAGAGGAGGCCGATAGTCCACCGATGAAAACCTTCTTCGTTTTTGTTACCATCTAAATAAAAAGGAACTACAAATCGTTCAAAAATACTAAAATTTTACACTTCTTCTGAAAAAGAAAATTTCGCAGCTTTGTCAAATGTTTTATTTAGCACTCTAACTACGGTAACAAGGACTAGACAACCTTGCAAATTTCAAGCTCCGGTGCTGCCCACAACACATCTTCCCACAGTGGTGATACGTCACAACAGAATTACTAACCACATTTCTCTAAATTCTATCACAAAGGAAAAGTAACCAGTCTTTTACTTGCCTTTGAAACCAAACGTTTCTTTGGAGTTACATCACATCAACAGTAACGCCAAAAGAAATGGTCGACTTCCATAGCTTGCTAAACTCTACACACGCAACAGGAACCTTTACTAATATGAAGGTTTACTTCTGTTCTTCAGTGGACCCTCAGAACAAATACGAAATCTAAGCTAACGATGAAATATCTTTGAATAAAGAAATACAGCTGACTCTATTCGATGGAAAAGCTTCTCCTTCAAAAAGCCCTCAGTAACGTCGTCGAAGGCAGTTTTCTTAATGCCAACAGCTTCATCCAAACATTTAATGGCATTATTGGGTGTGTAATTATCATATTCTATGCCTCTGAAAGCACTCGATGGGTGGCAGTAGTGCAAAACGCCGGAAACACCTAGGGGTGCGCTGTCGATAGAATGCCTCACACCACGCGAAAAGTAATGAATACACGGCAAAGCGGCGGTTCGCACGAAGATCCATGATGTGCTATGAGCTATTACGAGCCATCGGTATCACCAAGTTTATTAGAATTTGCTTTCCAATTCTTTAGGTCCGATCCATCAATATATTCATGTAAGTTGAAAAATCCGTACTTGGAATATGCTATTCTCCTACAGGATGGTAGGTAAGGAACGAATTGTAAAATAATTCCAAAATCACACAACAATTCACTCCGAACTTGTTTAACCTTTTTATTCATCCTGTTTACCGTGATACTGGTCCCGATTGATGAGAAGCAAATTGCAAGTGTTTACGAAGAGGCTACAACTAGTTACACACAAAACGTACTACACCCGCTGATGGATACAGAGATGTTGTGGTAAGCGCCATTTCGTTCAACAACGACACACTCGCTGACAACGATGAGAGTCCACGAATGCTGTTCAACTAGCAAATCGTTGCCAGTTGACGAAATTCAAGCTGTATGTGGTTGTAAGTGAGGACGAATGAGTGAGTGAGCGAGTGCTGAAGTGACGACGTCGTCGAGCAAGTAATCAAATCGACGTCGATTAGCACCACACTTGCGATGGTACGAATAAGTAGCGACGATGTGGCCACGAAGTGGTCTACCAGAGTGTGACTGGTGTCACGAAAGCAGCTAACTGCAATAACACAGCTGGTTTGCTATATACGACGAAACGAGACATCGATAAGCATCGAAGAAAATGGAAAATAGAAAAAGGTAGAACGATAAACGAAAGATGTCGAATGAGTCATTGCACCAAAAACATGATGCGTTATCAAAGACGATAGAAAGATGTTCATGGCATCTTGATACGTTTAGCTTTGAACACAACAATACTATTGTATATTTCTGAGACGATCACAATCAAACAAGGAAGGTGGACCGAAAACTATACAAGTAGCATAAAATATAAAAAATTAAACATTCGAGAAACCTTGAATTCCACAGAAGTGTGTACTTCCAGTACCATTTAAGTTCCTTAACCATTTTCGAACAACGGCTTTGTAAGGAAACACAATTACCTACGTCTTTAACCCGATCTGCCACACAAACATTACAAAGAGAACATTTCTATCTCTTACACCAATACTGCTAACTAAAGCGGTTTCTATAGAAAAAGAAACTTTTTGAGTACATCTGACCCATTAAGAACCCCACTATTAACTAATCATACTATGTGGAAGAAGACATCGGACAGACCCCTCACCGATCATTAGTAATCTACCATAGGAATAACTATAACTTTTGAAGCCAATTCTACAGAGATCTGAAAACAACGTCCGCAAATAGTTCTCTTGTTCAAAATAACATGAATGCATTTAAATAGGAGGTATGCCGGAAAAAGAGCTATGACAGATTCAAGCGATTTAACCAGCCACCTCAGCAGAGGCTGTCGCAATGATTGTGCAATTACGAAACGAGCCGTTCATTCCTCATCACCAATAACACCATACTATCCAGTCACACAAACCACCACTATCGTTATTTCAGTTATCGAAACGTATTCGAAGACAGTATATGGTGGCCAGACAAGCTCGCTGTACACATAATTGGTCCATGTTTTAATGGGAAGAAAAAACTTCCAAACTTGTATAGGAGTTTAAATTACCCCCTCTGCTCTTCAAATGTGTTATGACTTGTAGGAATTCCGGCTAGCATGCGACAAAGACCTATTATATGCATGACAATAATCCTCGCGTTTGAATGTTTAGTTTAGTGGATTCGAAATTCTTTCAGCACACATCAATACAAACCTCTCCTCATAGTTGTTTGAAGGTAAAGCATTTTTCAGAGTGTAACTGACACCTACGACAAATCACGAAGCTGTGTGGAGACTTTGCTAGCTTGAATGAGGTTGTAATGAAAGAAAACTATGGAATTGAAAGCGAGCTGATTGGTGTTTTATGTACACTCGTTACTTCGAATCTTAAAGGATATCGAGAACAGCTGATGAGTTTGAACAGAAGAAAATGAAGAATGCGCTATGTCTCGAAGCAGAGAATATTAGTATACATAGAAGCGAGTGATGCTTAAGCAAAATTCTGCAAGCCTGTAAATAAAAAGAGTCCTTCAACATTTAACACTGAACTGTCTTCCACCACTGAAAAGCAGACATATTTACTTGTTGTACAACCGCGAATCGAAGTAACAGCCTAGTCCTGACTCAACAGAAATGTTGTACGTCACTTGCCTTCACATTTAAGCTTATGATTAAAACAATTAATAAAACACGAAAAATTCACGCCAAAACTAGTGGGGATTCAGCAAGTGAAGTGCTAATGTACACAGAAGAAGCATACGGACTGTATGTTTTCCACAGATACACACATATGCAGCCGTTTTTTCGAATTCCACGCTACCGTACTCCTCAAAAAAATCACAGAACAAAACAAGTAGTTGAGCAATTCACGATGGCGAAGATTAACTAGGCTGAAGACTACAGCGGATAAGCGCTGAAGTGGCAATCGTGTTGAAGTGATGCCACGCCATCACTACTTCTGCTCAACTACTACTCTTCAGCGTCATTATATTAAATTGCGTCGAGGAATGAGAGAGAGGGCGCTTGGCAAGCCGTCGCCGAAATAGTAGAAGCGCAGCCGTGGCAGCATAGTTTATATCATTCTTATTATCTTCCATCTTTTAATCCTTAACTTTACCATTTTCCAGAAAGCATCCATCACAGTGGAGGCCTGTATAGTGCAGTAGCTAGAGGCGCCCTGCAATATACATGGGTTTGATCTCGCGCCCCAGACTAACCAAGCCTTTCATTCCTCCGAGGTCAGCAAATTGGTGCCAAACTTGTCTAAAGAGGTAACAGCAGTGAGTTGATACATTGGTAGATTCTCGCGAGTCATTATACAGGCCAAATATTCATTCAATAACTTCTGACGATACTCAATGAAGTTTAATGCATAGCTCATCCCTCAAGGATTGATTACGCCAAGAGCTTTATCCTTTGTCTTTTTACACATCACATACAAGTGGATGGCGTCAAGGTAAAAACTATAACAAAACGGTAGCAACTAAAAACGTATCCTGAATCCTCTGCCGCATTTAGTTCGCTGTGTGACACATTTTGATACTTTCAAAGTGTTTCTTGTGGATCATACGAAAATCATTCACAATAATTCACTTGTTTACAGCGCTAATGAAAATATTGTTACAGAAAATCGACTAAATTCGTCACAAATCTATTTCGTAACAATATCGATGTACGAATAGAAAGCAGTAAAAGAAAAAAGCTTCCTAATCTTGTGCATATCAAGGAAGATCGGTTTGACCTAGATTATTCTCGACCGTTTCGATTCACCTGGACAGCAAAAAGAATGCGTAATTACCAAGAAGAAATCCCAACAGATTTACGACTCCCAACTCGAGAGCTTCTTTACATCTTCAAGAACATGTTAACTAAAGTAAACTCCTTTCTAGTGAAACAGCATTGACAAATACTTCTACAGTTTTTACAGGAAAGTGTGCTTAAAAATTTAGATGTCTATTCATCTACAAGGGGCACGTGCGCGGCAGTGGTCGCAGAGGCGCTGCAATGCACACATGGGATCTGTTCCCACGCCCGTGGCTTACCTAGCCTTCCATCTCTCAGGGTCGGCAAATTGGTACCACACTTGTCTGAAAGGATAGCAGCACTGGCTCGATACATCGGTAGGCCACCGCGAGTCATTGTAAAGGCCAGATATGCATTCAATCACTTAATGAAGTCGAATGCATGGCGAATCCCACAGGAATTGAACAACGCCGAGAACTTTATCCTTTATTCTTTTATGCATTTACAACGTTATTTCATAGGACCTGTCATAACAATGCAAAATTTGTGGTTTAAATTTAACTCTCAGACTTATAAGTATGGGAAAGGGCTGAGGTTCAATTCCCCATAAGCCATCGACCAACAACATCAAAAACAACGACAACGAAGACCTCTACCAACCTCGCGTCAGCTTAAGATCAGTTTATAAGATCACATAAATAAATATATCAACTATCTATACCGAGGTTCATAGAAAGTCGGTCTTTCGAGTTAACTCTCAGACTGTTTCGTCAGATATATTTTTACCAAAACAAATGCAAAATTCTCAGGAATTCTGGATTTCTACACTTCCCTTTACACACATTATGCAGTGTTAATCAGACAATCAACAGAAGCAATAAGAACTCAAGCATAATACCGTTCATACTACTCAAATGAAAGAATTTTGAGTAATACTTGCCTGCCATGGCTTTAGGTACTTACATCGAAACAATGACAAATAACTAGAACAATGGAAAGC